TACCCTCCAAAAAGGGTAAAAAAAAACATCTCATAAAAAATAAATATATAAGTGGCCATTTTTCTAGCGACGTATTATTTTTCGTGTGCTACAGTTCATGGATTGCATAGTTTTGCCCGTAGCAATCTTGACAAGGCGATGTTCGGGCCGATTACTAGGGTATAGGCCACTAGTGGAAGAAGATTATGACGATTCAAGTTATCCGGTAACTGTGCTGGTGGGAAAGGAAAAAAGGGAATTCTTGGTGGAGTCATTTGTGTTAGAAGAAAGTCCATTTAGAAGTTTGATTGAAATGGTGAGAAAAGAAGATGGAGGCAAAGTAAAAGAAAATAGAGGAAAAAAAGTGATTTATGTGGATGTTGATGCTATATTATTTGAACACATGTTGTGGTTGATGCAAAATGATTGCTCCTCTTTGTTTCAACTAAATCTCAAGGAGATCATTGATTTCTATGCTCAAGATATATAGTAGTTGAAAAGAAGAGATAATTGATTACTTATTAATCATTATGAAGTTAACAAGTTAAAGAGGTAATATATATATATATATATGTATGAGTCTTTTTTTCTTTAACTTCTTCCTTTTACCCTTTGTGGTATTAGGAACTTTTTTGGGATTAATTAACATTTTTTATACTATGGGGTTCTACAAAAAAAAGTTTTAAAGGAAAATGATACTATATGGATATGTAGAAATAATTGATACTTGCAAAAAAGAATGTATACCAATTTTTAGCAATTAATTAATAGTTAGTGTACTTTAATTATTTCTCTTGTATGTAATTTCCATCTAATATAATGGTGTTTTTTTTAATCACATTCTTCGATCTGGTTGTATATTTATGCAAGTTTGATTTAATTAAAAGCAGTACTTTATGTAAAATAAGTTAAGAAATTCTACTACATCTCAAAAATATGTCTTCGTTAAATGAAGAAACTTTAAGTACTTTGAGAAACTACTTATTATTACGGGAGTAATAAAATTTTAAATAAGTTAGAATGACTATTTCTTTTTTATATGTATCTCGATTAATCTTATAGCCCACAAGAAATTCCTTTGTTTTCACACCAATTATCGAATAATTTTGTCGATCAATATTTACACAAATAAAAATAAATTACCTAATTTTTTTGACTCAATTAAAATTTAAGCATGAGATGTGAATACATAATTCCATTAATTATCATGGCGTTACTAATCTATACTTAGTTACTTACCCTAAAAATAAGTTATATTACATTTAATTAGTTGATCATTAAATTAATTATATGCAATATGTGAAATTATATTGTCTATATTATATTATTGTACTAATTAGTTGATTAAACTTTACATTTTTATTGGACTAACGATGCCTCAATTTGTTCAATTCCTTATAAACAAGTTAACAAATGTCAAATTTGCGTTGGTTAAATCAAGAAAGCCGTCCAACTATGTAGTCAAAAATTTGCAAGCACGTTAGGCTTTAATAATAGAGGCAGTCAACGACTAACTTTGTCTAAATCTCAAAGCCACTTAATTTTCTAAATAAGGTTTTTTTTGTTATCTTTTATGATTTAATCGAATTTAAGCCACATAATTTATATGTAATTATTATAAAGGTAATAAAATTAGTCAATGAAAATCTACTTCAACTCTCCCAAATTTAGATGGGTTATTGATCCTCTCATCATTTATTAGCTTAGTCTGTTTCAGCCAAATCAAGCGGATCAAAGATTAAAGATCAATTGATTTTAAGGATAATTTTAATAATATTTTTTTGTTATAATTTGTGAAACTAATATATGGGCCAGCCGGTGTAAGCAGCAGCTTGGACTTACTTATGTACTGATCCCTATTTGAATCCACAATAGTCAAGCCCATTTCTTATAATGATCCAAACTCTAATTTGATTGGGCTACTTTTGTTAATTAGTAGGGAAAGGACAGAAATCACATTTTTTAAGGTAAAATTATAGTTTGTCCCTTATAAATTTATAATTACAAAAATTCTTCAAATGATAATAATATAAGTGTTGGTACATTAATATGATACGCGAGATACATTAATCATTAAGTAAGATATATTACATTTTATAAATGATACATTAATCTGATGTATATTTTATACATGATATATTAATCTAATGCTCCAGATACATTATTTGATGAGCGAGATACATTAATTTGATGCGTTGATACATTAATAAAATGAGGATTTTGTGGATTTGCAAAACTAATAGGGGATAATTATAATAAGAGAACTTAAAGATGAGATTTTTGTCATTTATCCTTAGTATGCTGGGAAATTACGCGGATAATCAAATATACATTAGTTAATTAGTTAACAATAATTATAGTTTGAATTAATTACTACTCACAACCACTTTTTAACTATAATTATGTGTGCCTCTTTCCCCTCTTCTCTATCTCGCCATTATTCTCTCTTATACATATACGAATACAAATTATGCATATGCATATGCAATGACAGATTTACAAATATAATTTGCCTCTCTCTACTCTCTACCCCTCTCTCTCTCTCACTCGCCTCTCTCCTCCATCTCTCAATATCTCTCTCCTCTCTCCTCCCTCTTCCGTACTCGCTCGTCCGGTATACAAATGCATATGTATATCACTTATAAGATATACAATTATTTGACAGATATATACATACAATTATTTGACAGATATACATAGACAATTCGACTGATATACAAACACAATTCACCTATCTCCGTCTTCTCTCACTCGCCTCTCTCCTCCCTCTAATATGTAGCTATGGATCGTAATTAACAAATTATAGCTATGAGACCTAATTAAGTTATATTATGCATGCGTAGACATAGTACATTTAGACTCATGTATATTTCATGTGAAAAAATAAATTATAAAATCTAAACTTAATCAAAGCTTGAAATAAAGCATCCATAACTTTCTCTGCAATTATCTGCCTCATAAAATAACATGGACTTTTCAATTTCTAAAAACAATGATCCCACCAAGAATCTGAACATTATAAGCACTAAAGAAGTTGTTTTAAAATAAAAAGTATATTTTGCTTTAAGGAATCTTACCTCTGATGTTTAGGGAATTTAGTTAATTAATTAAGTGCATTAAGGATCTGGCCATTTTCATTTAAATCAATTTCTTTCACTTGTATTCGTATGATACGTACAATTTCAAATAGAGAGAATAAAGTAAAGTAGAATTCGTAGATCTTTCTTTAGCAGGAAATAGATTATTTTTAGTTATAATATAATCATTCACTTTAATAAATAGTGATTATTATAGTAAATGAAAGGAATATATAGAATGAGCATATGCCGGTCTAATGGTTATGGTGAAGTGAACTATACAGTTTGGATAACGTATTTCGTAGAGACAGATTCAAAAATTTAAAATGAATCATACGATTTAAAATGGGTTTTTGATGAAATCAAACCACAATTTTTTGGATTGGACTGTTTTTTTACTAAAACAAGGCTATATCATAATTTTTTAATTTTTTTTACCTTCACAAGATAGACGCAAGATTACGTGCTCACCAGACTCCTCGACCTTGTGTGACTACTCTTTGATATCATAGAATGGGAAATTGTACAAGTAGAATATCATGATTAACAATATGTCTAGTATTTCTTAGTTGATGTATGATAATGACTTATAATAAAGAAAAATTGAGATTTTTCTGACATTTGGGTACCATGATAAGATAGACAAGTAGAAGCTAAAGTGCATCAATCATCAGAGATTTTAAGTCAAAGTGTGACCTTGTAGTTCAAAATTATTTGTTGACACATATTGCCTCATCTCACTACATATATATGTGTGTGTGTGTGTCAGAAATCAAAGATTTTGAAGCAGAATTAAGGACAAATAAAATGAAAATTACATTGTCATGACTTTATGTTTGTGTTGGACTGGCATTTGAAAAAGGCTTCACCCATAATTCTGACCCTTTGGGTCTTAACCATCAATCTCGATTCACATGTTCACCTGCTTCAATCGCCTTCAAGTAAGGCATTAGAACATAGGCATGTGTTATGAGATCGATTTATAGTTTTTTCAATGTGAATTAAGTCGTCATTTCATAAGATGATGGCTTAATTTTTGTGGCCTAATGTAGAAGACATCAAAAAAGACCTCCCAATGCTTGTATTTTTTCGTTTTCAATAAAAAAAAAACATTATATTCTCGTATTGAACCATAATCACTAGCCTTGAATCACTTCATATAAATTCTACTGTTAATCAAAAACATCGATACACTCAAGTTTGCAACTTATATAACATGTTAGAACAAATTAAACCAAACTTGATCAAGAACACATTTCAGAAATGGGACAATTAAGATTGTCATTAACTACATAATCTTACTTCATACTTCATAATGTGATTAACTTGAAAAACACCAAGATTTAACAAAGAGGTCTTAAATTTTTTCCTTTTAAAAATAATTTCTTTTGAGGTGTTACATTTGAAAGACATGTACACTGTACTGTAAATGTATAGGTCACTCTCTTACAGTTTTGATTTGAATTCAAAATGCTTATTCTTAAAAAGATTATAAGTACTGAGGAGAGTAACATTGTTTTCAGTAATGACCAGTGGGATCAAATTCCCAAAAATTAATTAGTACATCAAGATATTCAGCTCAAACATTAATGCAAGACATGTTTAAAAAATTATTTTAAAAAAAAGACATGTTATTACTTCTAGTGTAATAAAATTCCCAGAACACCTTTCATCCAACAAGAAGAATCTCAGTATATATATATATATATATATATATATGGCATTCCTTTTTTAATTTAATCTTTTATTAGCATATGTATTATTTTTTAATATTAGCAATAATGTTCAATCATATAGATAGTGAAGACAAATCAGCTAATTAAAATAAAAAATATACCATTAAATTACTTATATAATTAAGAAAACAAAGGCATATAAATATAATTATTATAACAACTACGCCGTTTTTTACCCTAGAGAATTAAACAAAGATGGATCAAAATATTGATTTCCCAAACCATATTTCTTTATAGAAAGTTTCCATAAAGAACATTAATTAAGATGACCAATTTCAGAATTCATAGAGTTACATGACCCCAAAATAACATACAAGACAAAAAAAAAAAAACTCAAAATCTCTAGAACAAAGATGATACACTAAAAAAAAAGATGGTACACTAATTTAGCTGACCTTTTTTGATTCAAGAATCCCCATATTTCTTCATTGATCCAAATTAGCTTCCATTCTTGATTGATCAATATGAACAAGCTCGAATTCTGTGTCTGCACTAAACTCCAAAAGGTGGGCGAAGACCTGGATTCCCCACCCAACCATCAACAGAAGCAGATCCAGGATTTAAACAGTTAGGCATATTTAACGGTAGATTAAAAAACGGAAGCCCAGGATTAGACGGGTCCGGAAAAGGGTTATTATTATTAAGAACCCCATCACCACCATCAGAACCTTGTGTATTACCATCTTCCTCTAAAGGCAATCTTTCATAAGCAACATTAGTAAAAGATGAAGCTATTACAATAACTGGTCCAGCAGCTATCAACTCACCTACCACACTTCCTCCAACAACTTGTCCTTGTCCACCACCTAAAAAAATAGTCAAACTTGTTGCCCCTGGTGGTGCTGGTGGTGGTAAAAATGAACCACTTAGTGATAAAATCTCAAATCTCCCATTTAATGTAACAACCGATGAAGAACTGTTATTGTTATTATTATTATTACCACTACTTGCTGGTTGTCTTATACTTACATTCGTAACAATTCCACTTCCACTTAATATACAGATCCCACGTTGTCTTCGTCTAGCATACGATGATATACATTCAAATACATCACATCCATTACCAATTTCAAGTATGTGAGCTCGTAACGTATTCGCACTTTCCCTAGTGATAATAACCGGGGGCTTCGGTTTATTTTTGGACCCCGGAGGGCGACCCCTTGGTCTACGACCAACTAGGTCGCCCGGTCCAGATGAATTTCCACCAACTAGATCAAACGGATTGTTGTCGTGATGGTCATCTGAAAATGGATTGTTTTTTGTATTTTCATCGTGTTCGGATTGAATTTGGAGATTGAATTCAGGGTGATGAAGTTGATGAACGTAACGAGATGCACTACTTAAATCTAGACCAGCCATAATGACCATAAAAAAGAAAAAAAAATAATTAAAAGAGTATACAACAACAGGAATTTTTTTTATAAAAAAAATATGTAAGGCTAGAAATTAAAATATGTTGGTGTGGGGGGGAGATTTTATATATATAAAAAAATAAGAGTAAAAAAAATGAATATTTGAAAGAGGAGAAGAGAGGAACCCTAGATTTGAGAAAAGAAAAGAGGTGGTGGGAGGATTTGGTTGAGTGATAATAATAAGAGAAAGAAGGAAGAGAGGAAGACAAATTAAAGGCTTGTTGAACAAATGCACTCTTTCTTTCTCTCACCTCTAAAAAGTTTTATATATATGCATAAAAAAATGATGGTGCTTAAAAATTATATTTTTAATCAACAAAAAAGTATTACTACTACCTGAGTTCCAAATTACCGTGGTAATAATAATATATTCAGTATAGTTATATAATTGAAATTTAAAAAGATGATATTTTCTCCTCCGTCTTAATTATGTGATTTTTTTTGGATGTTGAGATTTCAATTATTATTTTTATCGTGAACTTTTTATATATCTTTCAACCATTTTGAATTGCCAATTATTTTGACTTATATTATCTTTTTACATAATTTACAAATATATAAATATTATTTTAAAAAATGAAAAATTTCACTTTTAAATATTTTTCAAATTTAAATTTTTGAAAAATAAAAAGTACCACGAAAATTGAGATAGAGTTTACGTGGGTAACATTCCTTTACCTTGTAAAGTAGAAATGATATTTAGATAGACTCTTTTCTATAAACTTTTGTGAACTTTTGGGATTTATGGATAAAACATGTCGAGATATTCCTGTTGTTGAAAATTATGCCATTTAGCGTAATATTAGATAAGTAGAAAATTTGATCAAAATTTTAAAAATTTTATAGTAATTTTTTATTAATCTTTTTTTATTTTAATTAAAAGGTATTAAAGTTAAAAGAAAAAAAATTAAAAAGTAAAAATAACATAGTGTGAAATATATTATTTTACTATTCTTATCAAATTTTGGCTAAATTTTCCACAAATCAAAAGGATTTTTCCATTAGAAAAATGATAATATTCCTATAAAATGTTGTCGGTTTTTTCTTACTTATTGAAAAAGTCGATTTCTATACTTCTATGGAATTTTTTTTTACAAAATATATATTTTTTATGTTTCAATCAATCAAATTTGAAAAAATTAAGAATTATCTATAGAAAAATATAGTTTTAAAAAAATTAAAAATTTCTACACAAAAATATCGTTCATTTTTTCATAGATTAAAAGAAGGTGTCTTGTGAAAGTTGATTGAGAGTAATATATATTTCTTGGGTTTGACGAAGAAACATAATTAGTTGGTAATTTTTTCTTCTTATTAGTAGTTGGTAAATTATTTGGTTTACTGTTTGTATTAGAGTCTCGACTATATTTAAATTATGCATGATAAAATTTATGAAATTTTTATTTTTTTTATAATTAAATTTCAAACTCAAGACCTCTAATTACAAAAGAAGCATGTCATCTTGGGTAGTTGGTAAATTAAACTTGCATCTAAGCGCGTTTGAAAATAGAGACAAAATTTTGACAATGAATTACGTTCGAGGACAAGTGGATCCTTATATTAACAACCACTTTGTGCAAAGTCATTACATCTTCTCTTAAACACTCTTAATAATAGTTATATTTATGGTAATTTTACACGTAGAATTTGAGAAGAATAAAATATAATTAAATTTTATTTCTATATCTCATAAAACAAAATGACTATTATTTAAAAAAATTCAATTATATAGTATAGATCAAACTTGTAAGAAAGTGAGCATATAAAAGTTTTTTTAAAAAAAATATATAACAAATAATTTTAGAAAGCATAATAAAGACATTAAAATAAATAAATAATAACAATATAAAATAATATGATATTTATAGAAAGACAAAAGGTGGAAAGATTATGGAAGTGGTTATAATATAATGAGTGAAAGAAGAACAAAGCATAGTCGTGTAATGTAAGTAAACATATATCTATCGTACTATCTTATTCTTAATTAGTTGATTCTTATTTTTCCAAAAAACGTTAGAAATTGTGTTATTATTTCTTCCTTTCTTTGTTGATAACTTGTTCTGTTGTTTTTTTTTCCTTTTTTTGGTTAAGAATTCATCCTAGATGTGAATGTTAGGAAAAAAATTTTATAATGAGAGTGTTTGAATTAATTTGTGCATTTTTTTTATTAAATCAAATATTATTATTTATTATATTTGTAATAAGGGTTATATCAGCTTTAGATAATAAAGTTGTGAGTATAATAAGCTTTTGTTCTCTGTTATAAATAGATCTTTATTTTCACTTCTCTCTTTAAAAATTTAAGAAATAATTTATCATTTACTTCTTAATTTACTTTTATTATTAGCTATAATTATTTCTCATTACATTTTCAAAACGTTAAATTTGTTATATTCAATTAAAGATATAGTAAAATTATTGTTATACTCTCTCTGTTTATTTTTATTTGTTATGTTACACTTTTTGAAAATTAATTTAATTATTTTTAATAATAAATTAGATTATGTTAATTTAATATTTTTTTAAAAAAATTAGATATACAAAAACTATACAAATAGTACTATAAAATATACTTTTACATATTAATATGATAAATATGTACGTCTTAAATTATTAATCAAAATTATTATAATTTAATTTTAAAAAAGAAAATGTAACAATTAATTATGAATGTAGAGAGTAGTGTTTATTATAAACGAATAAAAATGGACACGAAATTGCTTTTTAGGAAGCCTATGATTTGGATATTTAAAGCAAGTTGTGTTAAAGTTGAAATGCCAATGTACTCGTTCAATTTAAGCACGGTTTATTTTGAATTGTCATGATTTTTTTCTTTAAAAGTAAATTATAAAAAATTAATTAATAATTTATGATATATTTTTTTATTATATTAATATATAAAAAAATTATAATTTATAATATTTTTTATATAATTTTAAATATTTAATTTTTTTAGAAATATTTATTAATATAATCTAATTTAATTTTAAAAATAAAAATATAACAAATAAAATTAGACGAAGAGAGTATTATACGTTTATTATAAATGAAACCTGAAGTAATTATTAATTAGCATATGTGTGGTTAGGGTTTAACATGAAGTTAATCATGGTTAAGGAGAACAAAGTTGACCAGATTTAAATGCAAAGCTGACAGAAAACGTGAAATCAGTGGGACCCAGTTATTATAATTAATTAATTAATTAATTAAAATAATAATTTGTCTAAATTAATTTTTAATGGCAAGTGGGAGATGGTGCAGCGGCTGGTGGGTCCTACTTTTGTCCTTATCCCAACACCCTGGCCGGCCATCTTTTAATTAAATTAATTAATCAGTCAAAATTTTAATCACCAAACATTTAACCCTAATCTTATGCCTTGTTTGGTTCTCCTAAAAATAAAAAAAATTCAACTCTATACTTTTTTTTCTTCAACGAACACACACTCTTTGTCTTTGGACTTTTGTGTAATTCGTGCAAAAGTGGATAATATATTTTTAAAGGAATACTGTTACAAGTTACAACAAATTAAATTAAAAAATTAAAGGTATTCAACTTAATATTTAATTGATACATGTTATAAAAAAAATATAGATAAACGTAAAAAAATATTGTTCAGACGGAATACTAACTATTTATTATTCCTAAATTCAATATTATTATTTGATTCTTGTAATCATGAGTTCTTTTCTTTAATGTTATTCTTTAATTATAATAATAGTATTTTCCCATTAATTGTTTAGTTGATTAAATAATTACATAACGATAACGTTTCAGAAATTGGAGTGATAAGGTGAATAACATATTTATCTTACGCAAAGATATGTAATCTTTGTCCTATTCTTTTGAGGGGGATTAATAAGTTGGCCTAAAATAGCTACCACTTAATTAATTTTTAAAATTAATGATAGATTTATTTACCCAATATTTTGGTTCAACTTCTATATGGTCTTGATTTTGACACTTAGAAGTAGAATAATGCTGTAGTTTATGAAGTTTCTCATAGTGTCATCCTCTTAGAAAGGTCATGTTAATTTTTCTGTATCATTTCGATTTTATCATATGTCCTCGAAAGAACAATTACTCACACACACACATATATATATATACATACATACATATATATATATATATATATATATAAACTAATAGATATACATCTTATTTATGAGTTATGAATTATGATTTGCTTATTTGACAGTATTATATAAGATTTGAAGATATTCTTTTAATAATTATTATAAATTATGAAACTTTTATATATATGGAAAAATTACACGTTCAAATAAAATTTTAATTTTAAATTAATATAATTTTAAATAAATTATATTCAAATAGAACTCTAAATAAGATGATCATAAGTTTCAATTGACATGATCTCACCAAAAATAATTTTAGAAAAGGGAAAAGAACAACCTGTAAGCACATTGCAAAGTTAGGAGTCTTAACTCGTAAGTGGACTGAATTATGTTTTTTTTGTTTGTTTAAAGACTTAACTAGGTCTAAAGTTGAATGTGAACAACTAGCCATATGAACCCATTATGGTACTAAAAAAAGGTTGTCTGTCATAATAGGAGGCAAACTTAGGTTTCACATATTTATATTTTTCAATTTTGAATGTAAATGTAAATAGATAGATAAAGTATCGAAACGTTTCAATAAGAGTGTTGACCATTATTGTTACATAAAGAAATTAAAATTCATGAAGTTTTCTGATTCATTGGATATTGCCCTACTTTTGAATCCTTTGTCAATTACTACTTAAAACATTACATGAATTGTTTGTTGTCTGTATTATTGAGTACTTCTTTTACTCACTCATGTTTTCCTATTAATTGAAGTCAAACATGTCCAAATCTTCCATGCTTTGACACACTCCTAAGACCTTAATAGAGTTATACAAACAAAAAATAGATTGTCTATGTATACATAGAAGGAAAACTTAAGCTTATTGACAATCAAGTTCATCTACTATTGGTTTGTGAATTGTTGCCTAAATCTTACCTCTGCTCACTATAAAATGTTCATTCGAAAGACAAAAAAATTATGTCAGATATTGTGAATTTTTCTGAAATATCAAGTTAGGTTATTTTTCTTCTACATATTTGGTGATGATTAGATTAGTAAATAAATTAATATAATGACATTCCTAACTGCCAACATACAAGCTTCATCTTACATTTGACTAAGTTTTTGTATTATAACTAAGATAGTTATTTTTGAATGATCTAAAGCTAGCTATTGCATTTGTCAATCTA